TGGACATCTATATGCTATATATGTTTTTACCAGTGTAACTCATCTTTAGCTTAATGTTTTATATCTTTAGTATTTATGATTTTATGATTTTTATTTTGTTGTTTTATTATTTATTAAAGTAGGATTTAATAATTACTTTTACAAAAGATTGATGGACATTAACATATGTGCAATTATATTAAACTTTGGCAATTATGATTTAATAATTTTACATGAATCAATGTATATATTTTTTTAATAATTTTATTTTTTCCTTTAAAACTATTGATTACATTAACAACTTTCAAAAATATTATTAGTACTTAAAAAATATTACATATATAATTCATCTGATATATAAAACATGCAACACACATGCTTACTACTAATAGAATTGAAAACGTGTAAAACGAGGCACTCACGTACTTCATAGTACTAAGTCAGTACTGTGCAGGCAAGGATAATATCTCCCTCCACTATCTTTGACCTACCCCTAACCCAAAACCAAGACTCCTTCCAGTCTTTGATAGAGTAAGGGAGCCCCACAACAAAAGGAGCATAAGCTCCCCAAGGAGTGAGGTAGTATCACCCTTTAGACTCATCTTTTCCCAACATCTTGGGCTGGAAGAGGGTTTGGAAGACATGTAGATGCATGTCTTCGCCTAGTGACACTTCCTTCCAAAGAAAGGAAGCCCCTACCAATTGGCTCCACCCGTTTGGTAAAACCTAGGTAGGAGCCCACATGAAGGTACTTAGCATCGCCCTAAAAAATGGGTGCAGAGATAGACACATTCCTACTTTAAACAGGAATTCATTTCTTGCCACATATCTCGGCCTTGGAAAGTATGCACGTTCGTGGGCTTCAGGTACTAGCAGTTCTATGTAATGTGGGATGCTACATTTTTTCCTAAATTCGGCTAGTTTTTTGGAGGTCATAGTAGAAGGAATCTTGGCAGCCCCCCGACCCGCCTCGTAATCTATTGGTTCCTCATTCATGGTGTACTAACCCTCTGACCCCCAAGATACGAACTCCTCCCTAAACCTAGCAATTGTAACTACATCCCTCGACGCCTCGGAATCCATTACAGACGAAAAAGAAAAGTGATGAAGATTATAGAAGTTGATGAAAATTGTGAAAACGACTTCACAAGAAAACACCTAGAGGGAACGAGAGAAAATCGCCGGAAAACGAAGAGATGCTGGAAATTTTTTGAAAGTTTCAAACGCTTGAAAGGATTTGAATGATTTCGCAAAAGTAAAGTTTTAAAATGGCATGAGTTTTAGTTTTTATATTAAAAAAGAATCAATCCCAGCCGTTGGATCGAGGCCCATTGCATCTGAAGCGTCCATTCTTCTGATGCATCTGAGCCATGGAATTCAAACGGTTTACTTCACCAACGCCTTAGATTAACTCGTGATTATCACATACCTGCCTCGGCACGTTAGCCACTGTTGCAACACATGTAACCATCATTGCACATTTAATGCGACGACCATACGTCTATTGGAAGTTGTACCGCTTCGGCTGTCTCATCTCGGAAATATGTTGAAATGTCAAATCATTGGCACTGTTATCAAGGTCAATCATTAGTAAACCAGCCTCGGTAGTTCAGCACTTTTCTACCATAACTTCAATTAAATTCAGCTATCATCAGTAAACCAACATCGACAGTTCAACACTTTTCTACCTTAACTTCAATTAAATTCATCCTTAAAGTTAATCAGCCTCAACATTTCAGTATTCTCCGTTTCGAAATAGAACTTCATTTATTATTAAAGTCCACTCATAACATGAATAATTATATATAGACTTGGGGGACTAGTGTTATGACTCGCCACAGGCACTACCACGTGGCCAACCCACTGTAGTTGTGGACCCACTCTTGTCAAAGCATCAGACATAGAAGACGAGGCCCTGGGGTAAAAATTCTGAGACTCGATACTCATTCCGAGATGGGCATGTCGAAGCGGATCGATTCCGAGTCACTACCCTGGTTTGCGACGACCCACATGCAGAGGTCTTGAATTTATTGTGGATGATTGATTTGACATTTGTAAAAGTATATGTGTGTCTTGTCTTGTCAATAAGGTGTAAGAACATTAAATACGTTGTAAGCTAGGAAAGTCAAAATGATGGCTAGGATTAGATATTTCGGCCGAGGAGATGAGGCCACGTGTAATTGCATCCAAGGGTCACCAACCCTAGATCAAATACTATAAATACCTCCTTTATGTGACCATTGAGAGGGGGGGGATGAAACTCTTAACACAAAAAAGCAACTTATCTTCTTATGCACATTGATTTACAGTCTTTTGCTTTGATTTTATAGCGATTGGTTATTATTGTATGGTCGTATCCTGGATATCTCGCCGAATTCGAACAGAAACGTCTCGTGTCGTTGAGCTTCTCCAACGTCTAGTTTAGGAGCAATGTCGATCGTTGATCCATTGTTATGTGTCGGAATTAGGTTGTGTATGCACAAGTGGGTCCGACATATGTTGGCAACATATTTTGAGGTCAATAAATAATAAAGTTTTAAGCAATGTTATTAAAATCGGACCGAACCGACTGATTCGACAGGAAAACCCGCGAACCGGAGTGATAACCTATCCGATTGACACATAAAACCCGTAAGTATAAAAATCGAAAAACTGTAAAATCGGGAGGTTCTACTAAAAATCGGGTTGCAGTTTTACCAAATTTTTCTGATTGGCTTTGTCAGAAAAAATAGAAAGTTAAAAGTATCGTCTATCCAAGAAATTGATTCAGCATTACATAAATTTTTCAAGTTAAGAAGAAAGATTTTCAGGTTGGTTTCATCCAGTTTCTCCCATATATCTTAGATTCACAGTTTTAGCATATGGTATCCAAAAAGAAAAATGGAAAATTGATGAAAGCAAGAACCTGTAGAGGTGCCGCCGCCGTCTTCCGTCTCATCTTTTACTTAATATAAAGTAGAATATTTTTATTGATTTGTGTATAAAATATTTTATTGAGTGAATATATAGTGGAGATTGTTTACTTTAACAAACAATGTTTGATAAAATAGATGACAAATATGGACAAAATTCTAAGAGGATATATATATTAATATATGAATTTTTATTTAATTATACTATTTTCGGTTCAACTCTTTCACCCTTGACTCTCTCTCTCTTTTCCGGGTCGATATTTGGGTAGATTTTCAAAACATTGGTTTTAAGATAACAAGTCCCATCATATATGATAAATTTTATAATTCTTTCTTTTTTTTCCCGAGAAGAGCAAACTTTTAATTCTACCAGATACTAAACGACAACGTTAAATTCATTTCAAATCGATACAGATAGCAATTGAATAACAAATGTTTTTGCTAAAGTATGCCCTTCCCTTAGTATAAAACAAGATTTTAAATCATTTTTCTTTTTGATAGATAGTCTAATCATTTTTCTTTTTGATAGATAGTCTAATCAGTATTCTAAAAAGCGTACTGCGTAACTAGATGAAGAGACCAAGTTTTCAACTAGGTGAGGGCTAAGCGTGAAAATGAGTCAAAAAAATATTTCTTATTTTAATATTATTTTAAATTTGTAACACATCTAAAAATCATTTTATAATTAAAATAATACCTACCAAACATCTAAATTATAAAATACTATATTTTAAAAAAATGAAAAAGAAAAAAAATGTGCATAAGCTAAAAAAAAAAAAAAGCTAATAAACTTGAAGCAAAGCGTTTCTTAGAAAATTTTAAACACATGTTTTTCATTAAAATACTATTTCAAAATACATTTTGGACAAGAAATTGGGCCCAAACAGGCTCTTAGTTTTTTTCTTTCTTTGACTTTAGAGATGTAAGCTTCTTTTTTCTAAATTTGACGATACTAGAGAAAATGAAATTACGTAGTACATAAAAAAAAAAGGAAAAAAGAAAGAAAAAGACTAAAAAATACAAAGATTGGTTAATTACGTGATTGGTCACTAACTTTGCGTAAAGTTTTTAGGGGGTCACTGAACTTCAAAAGTTTCTTCGATAGTCATTGAACTTTACAAAATGTAATATCATCCATCACTTCGTGACTAACGGGAAAACTTTTGAAATTCTCAATCATGGATGTGATTACATTTTGCAAAGTTCAGTGTCTATTGGAAAAACTTTTGAAGTTACCTTATGGAAACCTTTTGCAAGGTTCAATAACCAATCAAGTAATTCTTCCCCTCAAAACAGTGGAAACACAAGTATATATACAAGAGAAAGAAAAATCACCCTCAAAGACCATTCACATTTTCACATGTTCGTCCCTCATTAGGACTGACGATGTACAAAAAAAATCAGAAAACAGCTTCAATGGAGACACTATCAACAACACACACACAAAAAGGACTTCTCAAAGAATTGAATATGTTACTGTAAAGAGGATATCTGCATGGAGGATCCTCTTTCTTGAACATAATTCATAGACTAGATTTTCCACTATAAATTTTAGATAAGAGAACTTTCAACTTTGTATACCAATACTCTCATGTAAAATGCTTCAAAATGTAACGCAAGTAATGTCGAAATCTATAATCAGAACTCCATCAATAATCAAACGCAAATCACTCTAGATTTCACTTTATGCACTTCTTCATATATTCATACTTTTACGTCCATTGGCGAGTAATAAAATGAACACCCAAATCCAGCTTAATAGCAACTAGCAAATTCAAAATTTCACCTGAAAAAATTATGCATTTATAGCAATATATATCATGTCAAACAAGCTCCAATCAATTACTTAAGTATTTTGTATTTTTCACAATTCATTTCATTCTACAAAGCAGTATTTCGTATTTTTCATATTTAACAGAGATAGATCACAATATCAAAATCCCACCATTCTTAAGCATATGATAAGTTCAAAATGTCAGCAACCACAACTAAAAACCAGATCCTACCAAGGCCAATTGAACACAATACACAAGATATATAAAAACTGGTAAACAATAAAAGAAAAAGAAAAATTGCCTACTTATTTACGATCTTACCTAGAACCCCCAACTAACTGCCAGCAGTGGGCAATGCCGCCACGACCAAGTTGTAAGATGACTCCAGATCAAAGTGAGGCTGACGGGCTTGTTGCTCAGTCAGCTCATCAGCAGCACCCATTCTTGACAGCCTCGCAATCCAATCTCTCATCTTTGTATTCCCCTCAAAATCAGGAGGTAATATTGTCAGCTTGTTGAGTGAAGCTGATAAATCCGACAGCACCGAATGGACCTGATCAACTGCAGCCATGTTCAACTTTAACGAATCCATAGCCGTAATAAAATTCTGCACATACTCAGCCACAATTGCAGCAGAGGTAGTGGTCGACAGAGCAGCAGCTGCCAGGTGCTCAACAGTGGCCAGAACTCCTGATGTCACAAGCCGGTTGAGGGCAGCCGGGCAGTCCATCTTGTACGTATCATGGAACTGCTCAATGCTTGGGACTATATCTTTCAATGTGGACGACAGGGTTTTGAAATGAGCAATCAACTTTTGGCATTCAGTTTCATACTCTGCAGCTGAGATAATATCGCGCACATAAGCCTTCTCCAGCTTCTTTGTTGCCTTTATAATGGCAAATAGACCTGCAAAATTCTCATACATCTCTCTTTCGCGCCTGTCGTTCCATAGCTTAGCCTCCATATAAATACAAAATTAGAATAAGAAGCCGGATTGGAGAAGAGAATGGGACACGCACAAAGAGAGCCGATCTTTGTAACTGCACCACAACCAAATCCCACAAATTTATCAGGATCCAAAGCACTGTAATCTCTTTTCAGAAACATACACACAAGTCCAACTTCAAGAATCTCGAGACTAAATTATTATCAACAAACAATTTCCAAAAAGTCTATATATGATAACCGCAGATAAAGAACAATGACACAGAAATGAAACCCAAAAAAAAAATTCCTCATTTCCACGAGTGCATCATACACAAACCCAAAATATATGCAAATATATTAAAAATACAAGTAGATATTGGATCATCGACCCCTATTGACGATTAATTATTCATAGCAAACTCTTAAAAATGATCAGCATTGAGGTCTACCTAAAAGTTAAAGAAGCCCAGATCCAAAAAACTCAAAATTATACAGCGGAATCGAACTTCATAAACCCTAATTTCATAAACGGTAGTTGAACGGGATAAATCAAGATCAAGCATACCTCAAAAGACCGACAGCATTACGAGCAGTAAATTTAAACTAATAAACAAAATCCCGTATAAATATAAATATTATGCACTTAACTCAACACAATACATCCATGTAGAGAGAGAGAGAGAGAGAGAGAGAGAGGGCTTGCTTACGGAGAGAAAGACGTGGCTTTGAATACTGGGAAGGGTGTTGCAGAGAGGAGCAGGTTGTGCATTCTGAGGTTGCGTGTGGAGTTTATTTCGAATTCTAAATTATTTTTATAAAATAATTAAACATGGTGCGCTACATACATACCTGTGCTGCTTCCCCACCCTAATTATTTAGTTTTTCTATTCTTTTTTTTTTTTCTTAATCTCCTGCATTTTTAGTTTCGAGTATTCAATCCTAAATATTTTTAAGATTAATTAATAATAAAGTATAAACTAATATACCTAAATTGCTTTAGGAAAACACTTCATACCTTATAGGGAAATACAAGCAAATGACCCAAATTCAAAGCCAAAATTCCAAACTAACCCCAAACTAACCCATTTCACTATTCAAATAGATAAACTACCTAAAATACCCTTAATATAAAAAGTTTCAAAATAAGTTATTTTAGTCCTCATAACTTTAATTCTAATTTTGACGCACATAAGCCTTCTCCAGCTTCTCTGTTGCCTTTATAATGGCAAATAGACCTGCAAAATTCTCATACATCTCTCTTTCGCGCTTGTCGATCCATAGCTTAGCCTCCATATAAATACAAAATTAGAATAAGAAGTCAGATTGGAGAAGAGAATGGGACACGCACAAAGAGAGCCGATCTTTGAAACTGCACCACAACCAAATCCCACAAATTTATCAGGATCCAAAGCACTGTAATCTAATTTCTGGAATCTCTTTTCAGAAACATACACACAAGTCCAACTTCAAGAATCTCGAGACTAAATTATTATCAACAAACAATTTCCAAAAAGTCTATATATGATAACCGCAGATTAAGAACAATGACACAGAAATGAAACCCAAAAAACAAATTCCTCATTTCCACGACTGCATCATACACAAACCCAAAATATATTAAAAATACAAGTAGATATTGGATAATCGACCCCTATTGACGATTAATTATTCATAGCAAACTCTTAAAAATGATCAGCATTGAGGTCTACCTAAAAGTTAAAGAAGCCCAGATCCAAAAACTCAAAATTATACATCGGAATCGAACTTCAAAAACCCTAATTTCATGAACCGTAGTCGAACGGGATAAATCAAGATCAAGCATACCTCAAAAGACCGACAGCATTACGAGCAGTAAATTTAACTAATAAACAAAATCCCGTATAAACATTATGCACTTAACTCAACACAATATATCCATGTAGAGAGAGAGAGAGAGAGAGAGAGAGAGGGCTTGCTTACGGAGAGAAGACGTGACTTTGAATACTGGGAAGGGTGTTGCAGAGAGGAGCAGGTTGTGCATTCTGAGGTTGCGTGCGGGGTTTATTTCGAATTCTAAATTATTTTTATAAAATAATTAAACATGGTGCGCTACATACATACCTGTGCTGCTTCCCCACCCTAATTATTTAGTTTTTCTATTCTTTTTTTCATAATCTCCTGCATTTTTAGTTTCGAGTATTCAATCCTAAATCTTTTTAAGATTAATTAATAATAAAGTATAAATTAATATACCTAAATTGCTCTAGGAAAACACTTCATACCTTATAATCATACATTTTGACCCTTCCATAAAAAAAATCGCAACAAATGTCTCTACAAATATGTATAAAATGGGCATTTTATTCCAACAATCCCGAGATCCAACAAGGTGTCAAAATAAAAATTTCTCACAGCTAATTTGACAAGAGGAACTTACTTATGATTCTCTAAAATAGTCATACATCTCTATACCACATCAGTAGTGAGAAATTTTTATCCTTCTCACTAGGAATTAGAGATCAATTCTACCACCATCAACAGTGAATCCTGCTCACTAGGAGTTAGAGATCAATTCTACCACCAGGATTGTATGGAATTAAGTCATGTTGTTGATGGGACTTGAATTCATATAACTTGGAACTGGATCTTGAAATTGCTGAAACAAAATACTCATTTATGTTCATTGATGGCAAAAGAAGCACGAACAAATCTTGGGAGGAACATTGACAACATTAACGACTCTTCCAGAGAGCGTGATGAAGACAAATCTACAAGCTTGTGATGCAATCAAAGCATGTTTAGTAATTAGAGATTTAGAGCTCCGCTTGAGCGTAGATCTGGTTTTGGAGTCGTGTAAATCCATCTCTCTCACGATGGCAATCACAAGGCACCGGTATGTTTAGTAATTAACGCCTATTCTTTTTTCTGTTATGTTGTAATGCATATGAAATGTGATGATTTTGTACTTCTAATAATTAACTCACGAGAGGTGTGGGCGGGGTAAAATCTGTGTGATAGAAATTCGAAAGAATTATGTTTCTTATGCACTCATTGTCGACATCAAGTTTGACATCCTCCTATGTTTAGGAAACTTGATGTACATGTATCATGATTGAAATAGAAATGGGTTTCGGTGGGGACGGTTTACAGGTGGGTGGGACAGATTTTTTTAGGTGGAATTAGAGAATAGGGGTTTTACGGGCGGATAGGAGAAGTTTAGACAAAATTAATGGGGGTTGGGTGGTTATAGAGTAGGGAAGTTTTTTTCATGGACAAAATTAGAAGGATTAATCTATGTGTACATAATTCATTGATGGCAAAAGAAGCACGAGCAAATCTTGGGAGGAACATTGACAACATTAACGATTCTTCCAGAGAGCGTGATGAAGACAAATCTACAAGCTTGTGATGCAATCAAAGCATGTTTAGCAATTAGAGATTTAGAGCTCCGCTTGAGCGTAGATCTGATTTTGGAATCGTGTAAATCCATCTCTCTCACGATGGCAATCACAAGGCACCGGTATGTTTAGTAATTAACGCCTATTCTTCTTTCTATTATGTTGTAATGCATATAAAATGTTGATTTTGTACTTCTAATAATTAACTCACGAGAGGTGTGGGTGGGGTAAAATTTGTGTGATAGAAATTAGAAAGAATTATGTTTCTTATGCACTTATTATTGACATCAAGTTTGACATCCTCCTATGTTTAGGAAACTTTATGTACATGTATCATGATTGAAATAGAAATGGGTTTCAGTGGGGACGGTTTACAGGTGGGTGGGAGAGATTTTTTTAGGTGGAATTAGAGAATAGGGGTTTTACGGGCGGATAGGAGAAGTTTAGACAAAATTAATGGGGGTTGGGTGGTTATAGAGTAGGGAAGTTTTTTTCATGGACAAAATTAGAAGGATTAATTTATGTGTACATAGATGTACACATAGTATGACTCAAACTAGAATGGCGTGAGATGGAGAGAGAAAATGATAAAATGTATTATTGATAAGGGTGTACACCATAATCTTTTAATTTTTAATTTGATTAGGACTATAATTGTAAAATTAATATGGTGTATTTATTGAAAATAAGATTTATTTGAGGTGTAATCATAATGTGGAGTAATAAATAATATTTGTAGTTATATAATCACCCTTAATTTTTTTTATCTTGTCCTTAAATTTTTTATTTATGGTCAACGTGTTAAATGGTAATGGTTTGATGAATATTTATCAATGAGTGTTAATATAAAAATAAAAAGTGAAATTCAATAATTTTGATTTTCCATTTCATTCAATTCTCTTTGCATATTTACTTCAATGCCAATATAAAATCATTCAATTACTACATAAATTATGATGTGAAAAACTTGACTGAAATTTAAATAGGTGGTATATATATGTTACATATGAATGAGGTAAATTATTTTCAAGGTCGATTGGAAGTTTATACATATGAATTTGATCATATCCAAACTATGTGCTATGAAACTCAACAGTTCGTACCCAGTGGTCGCATCCACTAATTGGTAAATTTTGGAAAGTGAAAAACTATCCTTAAGGCAAACCTTAAATCTATGAAGTGTTAATAGGTTCGCCACTTCTCATTACTTTTTGGAACCAGAACTGAATTACAGGCTCATAATGCGTATTGTGCTTCATAGATAAAATCATTTTCCAATAAGCCATCCACTTCACTTTTAGGGTTTCATACTTTTCAAAACTCATTACACGCCTCTTTTGCATTCTAGGCCTCACCTTGGGATCAATAATAAGTGCATCACTTGCCACTTTCAAATCAATACCAATCATATTAGCATGCTTCCAAGTGAATACATCAATGTTTGCCTTTAGGACGTCTTTAAGTAATGTCTTTGCTGGCTCGGCTAAATCTTTGCCAACTTTTAGGACCTTCGTTGCATCCTTCTCATCAATGAGAATGCTTTCCGTCTCTTTAATAGTTGTAGCTTCGGATGTGCATTCAATGATATGAGGGTCAATTGAATCATCAATTTCAAACTTTTCTTCCACAAGTTTAATGATATCAACCATTATCGTTGTGTTTACCACATGGGCTCGTAGGGCTTCCTCTCTTAAAGCATTATGGTAGCATTCTCGAGTAGCCCATTGGTTACCTTATATGCTAGCTACTTCCATAGAAATTGGAAACTTTATGCATAAGTGATGGAAGGATGTTGCTGCTTTCATTTGTTTTAAAGCAAGCCTTTCTAAGATCTCATTATAAATGGATCTAACCATCGGAACACCCTAGGTTCCTCATCAAGTTCTACAGCTAAAGTAATATGTCCTTGTAGGACTAGATTGTCTCCGATGAAACCGTAAAGGATTTTCGGCAAAGGGGTCCGTAGATAATCAATTTGTATTTGGTCATATGCACTTTCAGGTAGAATATTTACTGTGCTTTCGTTATCAACAACCATAAGATTAAGACAATTGTGAGATATTTCTCGTATAACCAAAGTATTACAATAACAGTAGATTACTTATATTCATCTTCATCGGTAAATTCAATTGAAGGGGATCTAGGTTTAGAATTACCTCGATGTTGGTTTATTAGCGACTCCGCATAGTTCTTTTGCGAGTTCGCTATCTCTTTTCCTATGTAGGATCCACCAATGATAGTATGGATCTTCTTGACTGGTAGACGATCTAGGACATTTATATATGTTGGTCTTGCATTTCTTGGTCCTAACCCTAGACGTTGAACTCTCCTTTAATTTCTCTAATGAGGATTAGTAGAAGGCTGGTGTACATACCCTTACTGGCTTTGCTGA